TTTGACCACTTATTTATTGTTCGTGTCACAGTAATGGATCTGTCCTCGTTCTAGAGCAGGAGCTTTTTAACCCTGGACTCACATTAGAAGCTTTTAAAAAATAGTGGCGCCCAGTTCTCATCTCACGTCAATTAAATCAGAATCTTTGGGATGGAGCCAATCTCCATCAGCATTTTTAAAAATTCTGAGAATCATTCTAATGTGCATCCAGCAGTGAACAATTACTGCCCTGGAGGAAGTTTGAGAGGCTGTCACAGGAAACTTTCTGTCAAAAGGGAGGTGTCTGTTTATTCAAGGCTAGATACTGTCGTAATACTTTGTTCTTTGTGTGATTTCTAGCACTTAGCTCAATGCCCAGCTGTGTGGGGAAAAGGAACCCAAGTTACTCCCTCTTAGTTATTTAACTGGCCTACACCTCAGTGAGATTGGTATTACTACCCCATTTTATAGATGAAGGCACTAAAATATGCCAAAGTTAAGTAATTCATTAAAAATTATGCCACTTGCAAGTATCAGGGTTGGGATTCCGCCAGTGCCAAAAGCCGGACTGCGTTCTTCCATGATGGTGGTCAGGAGCCCTGGTGAGAGTCTGATCGTCTAGGCTGGAATATGGGCAAGATGTGGGCATGTTTACAAAGCCTCTTCAGTGATCCTAAGGTGTGATCAAGGTTGACAACCACTGCCCCACACATGCCTTTTCAAAGTGCTTAGAATGTTCTGTACATTTGCTGAACTTGAAAGGCATGGGGAAGGCTTTCCTTAGGTATATAGATATATACATACACACACACGCATGCACATCAACCTATGCATGTTTCTCCCCATCCCTCCATCCAGAATTAGGAGGGATCAAGGCTTTCACTGCAGAGGTAACACTTTTTAGAAGAGGAAATCCAGTTATTTAAATTCACATGTCAAGCATTTCCAAGAGCTTGTGCCCCAGGGCCTGGGAATCTTGAAGGTGGCTGAGCAGAGGGAAGTGGCACAGAGAGGCTAGAGAAGGGTGTGGAAAGCTGAGCTGGCCATTACAAAGACAAACTTAGACACCTCTACAGTTTTATGCAGAGTCAGTCTGCACTAGGAAGCAGCCAAGCCTTGGCAAGCAGATGTGCTTATTTGGACCAGGCTGTAAAGGGACTGGCTTTGTGACTGGGAGATCATTACAAGGTGTAGAAAACACCTTATTAAATCCCTGGATCCTGGCAAGATCTCTGGGAGAGTGGATACTTAATTTGAGGAAAATATAGCCGCTTTTTCCTCCTTGCATTGGGTCCTGGTTCCGCTAATCTTCAGTAGGTCCCGTGTGCGCACGCTTCACCATCTGGGTTTCATAGCAGAAGCAGATGCATTTCAGTTTCAGGGAAAGTGATCCTTAGGTACTTCCACTGTTTTCAAAAGCTGTACCTAGGCAGGAGAATCTGGCTGGGTAACTTAGCTACTTGGAGGATTGTCCTGATTTGCTAAGGTTGTATGTTTGATCTCCAGTCAGGGCACATACAAGAGTCAACAAGTAAATGCCTAAATAAGTGGAACAACAAATCTCTCTCTCTCTCTCTCTCTCTCTCTCTCTCTCTCTCTCTCTTTGTTGCCCTCTTTTAAAAAAAAGTCTAGGCAGGGGCCAAGGAGTGAATGCATAGTTTTGGCCAGTAATAGGCTGAAAGTGAGAAGCCTGGGGGGCCCAAAAGGGCCAAGGCACTACTAGCTGCTGGGTCAGAGTCAGACTAGGAGTTCTCAGAGGTAAGGAAACTTTGCAGCTGTCTAGGCAGCAGTAATGCTAGCATTTGGGTGGGTGTGGGCCCACAGGTGGTCGCTGAGGGGTAAAAAGGGAAGGCAGCTGGTTAGGGCAGAAGAAAATGGAGGCTATGGATTGTTAGGGAACTGTTTCTACTCACTCAGGCAGAGTAAATTCTTATATATATGGACTTAACTTTATTGTTGCATGTATACTTTATATACATCTATACCTATATCTATCTATTTTCACATGTTACCTCCCCAGCAGACTTTGAGGCTTCCAGGGTAGGAAGGCAAGCTTGCTCACATAGGTTTGGCCCACAGTCAGTGTTATTTGCTTTAGCTGACTCTGAATGTGGAGCTCTTTACTGTCCTGCAGTTTTCTCATGGATGCTCAAACCCGTAGCAATGACATCTCTAAAAACTACCAAGGTTCTCTTTTTGCCACCATTATCTCTGATACAAGGGTCACACTGGCTTGCAAAGCAGTGGCATAATGTGAGAGACCTTGCTTCTACGCACTGCCAGAATATCTGAGAGGAATAATGCCTTTGGAGACCTGCTGCAGGGTGGCCTGTGATTGTGGTGTTCACCTTGGTGAAAGCTGCCACCCACCCAGCTGGTTAAGTAAACTCAGCCCCAAAGACGCAGCAATTCCCACCTCACTGGCTGTGAGATCCTCTTTGGTATCTCCTGGTATTCCGCTCCCAGCTCTCTTATTTGGATTTTTTTTTTCTGGGCTGACAGTCTTCTAATGAGGTATGGCATTTATGTTTCCTAATTCCCCAAACACTGTGATACAGTTAAAGCAACATTATTAGCTTCTCTGTCTTGTATGTAGTTTTTGTGGAGATAAAAAGGAAGGGAGAGGGAAAAAAGGAAAACATCAGAGTGCCTCAAGGGAGAAAAACAAAAGGGAAGACAGAAGAAGGCTGAGGAGACAGAGGAAAAAAGTTAAAACATGAATCTTCCTGACAGTCTGAGTTTGGCCATACTCAGAAAGCTGTTTAAATCCTTCAGCATTTCTCTTTGAAGTCCATCCCCTGTAGGAACTTGAAACAACATCTTTGCTGCCTGGGATGCAAGCTGTGAGAAAGTTAAAAGATACAAAGATACCTGTTTAGATACTTTTTCTCTTTAGGCTGTGTGTGCATGTGTGTGTGTGTGTGTCCCTTAATAGGATATGGCAACCACTTCTAAGTTTGAAAACCAAAGATAAATGCCCTATTTTATGCCAGAACTCAGGCTCTGCTTGTGGTTTGTTTTCATTGGGATGGCTTTTGGGATGGCTTAGAACTTTGGTGAGCCAGGGGACAAGGGAAGGAAGATGATTAGCTTTCTTATTTCTATGATTGCTTTGTGAATTTTGAAGAAAAAATAAGAAATGCCCCTTTCCTCTGCTGTCCTCTGAAATTCCCAGATCTCTGCTCTCCTCCTCTTTCCTGTGTCAGCCTGTTGCTGCTGGTCAGATGTGGCTCCCCGGCCCACCCCTGGTCCAGCCTGGACTGCGCCTTCCCATGGGGGGCGGTGTTCTTTCCGTCCATTCATCAGGCACCCGCCAGGCCTGTCTGTCTAGTCTCCCCTCCAGTGAGTCTTTCAGTGATACTCCTGGTAAGAGATGAAATACAAAGCCAAAGCACCAGACCCTAGGAAGTAGAGAAACAAAACTCTCAACGGTGGAATCCACCATTGTTAGGGATTGTGTGTGTGTACGTGCATGTGTGTTGGAGAGACAATGTTGTGACAGAGAACAAGGAGGAGGCACTGGTTGGATGTTCCTGATGGTTCTTTTTACGAGGTTGTTTTAATTCTGCCTCCTTATGCCCTACCTTGATTGGTCCTGTGACCTTCGCTACCTGCCCTTCCATGGCTCCTTCCCTGTGCCAGGATGCAGGTGAGGTAAGGAGACATACAAATACCATGTCACATGGAAACTCTTCAGTGAATGTGGAGGTGACAGAAGGGAATCACAGTGCACAGCACAGGGAGTAAGAGGGGGAGCACTGTGGCAGAATCTGAATCCCAGTGTTAGCACCCAGTAGCCATAAAGTTTCTTAATTTATTTCAGCTTTCACATGTAAAAATGAGAATACATTAGATTAGGATTTAGAGTAGTCAGAATGCTGTTCATTCAGTAGAAAGTCAAGAAATGTAGACATCATTAGCATGGAATACCCAGAGGGCAAGAGCTTTGGGGGAGCAGTGTTCACATGAGAATGTGTGAGCAGTGACTTCGAAGCAGCACTGACACGAGCCCCAAATGCCCCCTGCTCTTTTCTTGCCCCACAACTCTTGAGACATTTCTGTGGGCAAGAGTGGGGAAGGGGCAGATAGGTGGCCTCCATTCGAGAGAACTTCAGGGAGGTCTAGGGGAGGGGTAGATGAATAGTTGTCAAGGATTCCATTTTTTAGGAAATCATGCCTTGTATCTCAGCTTCAACCAGATGACTTTAAGGCCCTTTGAAACTTAATTTAAAAAAATACACACGATACAAAATCTGCAATATGAAAGAGGATTTAAGTCCAGTGAAAAGTAAGTCCTCCTCCTACCCTAGCTCAGTCTCCAGTTCCTCTCTGCAGAGGCAACCACTACAATAGTTTGTTATATATTTAATTTATATGGGTTCTAAATGTTCTAGTCTGTGAAACCCCTTTTCGGAATACCTCACTCTCCATTAAGCCTGGATTAAAAACTAACTTTAGCTCTGACTGGGTGGCTTAGTAGGCTGGAGCACTGTCCCATATGCCAAAAGATTGCAGGTTCAATTCCAAGTCAGGACACATACCTAGGTTGTGGATTCAATCCCCAGTTGGGGCATGTACAGGAGACAACCAACCGATCGATGTTTCTCTCTCACTTTAATGTTTCTTTCTCTCTCCCCCCTCACCTTCTTCTCTCTCTAAAATCCATAAACATATCCTTGGGTGAGGATTAAGAAAAAAACAAGACTAAAACTAACTTTACATAGTCCCTTTTATCCTTTTTTTGAGACCTTCCACGGCTGTCATAGCTGGTCAGATTATGACCTCACTACCTGCTCACAAGCACAATGCACTGTGGGGAGCACCCAGCTGGTGGGCACGGAGTGGGTAAGAGTGAACAGGACACGCAGATGGGGCCTGGGCAGCAGAGGGCCTGTTTGTGCTCCAGAGTGGCCCTGCCCATCTGCTCTCCCACAGGCGTCATTGGTCATTTGCTTTCTGCTCTTGGATTCCCTTCCTCCCTGTGGCTGAAAAAAGAGTGAAGCAAGATAATGCTAAGTAGATTAATGCAGTTTGATTAGGGGAGGAGAGAGAGAAGAGCAAAGACACTAGGGAGTTAGTGGGCAGGGAAATGAAAGGATTGTGTCCTTCTGTTTAAGAGCTTAGAGAAAAGGCCCATAGGACCTGGAGGAAAAAGAAAGTGAAAGAAATGTAAGGGACAGAGCGTTCCCCACACTGGTGACTGCAAAACTGAAAATGTAAGTGCTTTTTCCTCTCTGGTTGCTTCAAGATGAACTAATCTTATATTCTTGCCAAAGGTGACTTCATTTTCTCTGCTGTGCCACCTGCCACTGTCCCCGTCAAACAAGAGTGCGGCATTTGTTGATTGTTGATTTTGCTGAGAAGCCCTTGCAGGGCTGCTCAGCCCCAGTTTTAACAGCATAGTCTGATTTCACTAATTCAGTGTAAGGTCAACTCATTAGAGGCAAGTCGTGGGACTCTAGAAGTGACAAACAGTCTGCTATGCCATCCATTTAAAATGACAATAATAAAAATGTTAATTAACATCCACATTTGCACCATGGTTTATGATCTTTTTTAACAAGCAATTCTGCTGTGATCTTTGAATGATTTACTTTAATAGATGACTTCCCTGTTGTCAATCGATGTTTGAGTCAAGATTTGATCTTGACTCAATGTGATTATGCTACCACACCACACGTGTGCTTGAGTTACAAAGACTCTTGGCTGAGTTCCACAACTGAACTCGAGAGTAAGACTCCCTATGGATAAGTGGTGGTCACCTCTCTGCATGATTTGGTATGGAGGCTGTTGCTGATTTAAATTGTAGAATTAAAACCCACTTAGATGAATGACTAATTCTGGCCCTCCAAAATCCATTTCAAGGCCAGAATTGTCTGAGTTGGATCTCAGGACAGCTACTGAGTAATTACCTAATTCACTTCCAGCTTTATATTCTGTTCTTTAACATTGACTTATTAGCCCATAAAAAGTTATTAAAAGCAGATTGGGTTGGGTAATCCAAAGTTTTTATTCACTCCTTGAAATTCAGTTTCTTCATCTGTAAAATGGGGGTGATACTAACCCCTACTTCTCAATTATATACAAAATGTATATGTATGTGTGTATATGTATATTTACATGCTTATGTGCATATGCACATGCATCTTATTTAAATAAGAGATCACATACTAAATGCCTGATGGTACCTGACGAGTTCGCTATCATTATCATCACTGGGCAGTGGCCCTCCTCCAACACATTCCTGAAGCTCTGCAGTCAGACACCTGGAAGCAGTCCGCTTAGTTGTGTGTTGCCCTGTTTTGGCGTTATCCTTGCATCATTTTGCAGGTAGGCACGGATCATGCAGGCAGTAATTACTTTGTGTCTATCATCTACCACTAAATGATGTCCCTCTATAGTGTTCTTTTTTTTTAAGTTTTTTATCTATCTACTCTCATTGACTTGAATCTTTTACACTAAGGGCTTACATGGAAGATTCTGTTTACTAAAAAGTTAACTTAAATTGAGCTACAAAGCCTCTTTCTCCAGATCTTGTTGAAAATATTTCTGATTAATCGAGTCCATTCTCCTGTCCTCAGACAGTTCCATGAACCTGGAAGTTTGTCCTTCTGTGGTGGTGGGAGCTCTTGGGGTGTCTGGGCGATTGCTCTGAACACTGACTTTTATCATCCTGGCCTGTAGACATAAGAGCTGAAGAGCAGGTGTTGGCAACCTTTGACTTGTGCCAAGTTAGCACTGAGACTAAATTTTATTGGCTTTACTGAAACTGTTTCTTAGACAGTTTTGTATTGTAGGCATTCAATAAATGTTTGTTAAATAAATGATAATTGCACTTAGTCCCTCATGCCACCTCTTTCTCCCATCTTTTCCTAAAAACATTTAATATAGCTTATAAGGACTCCTAAAATATTCGGAATGTGCCAGCCACTTCTTCCCTTTTCCCTTGCCTAGCTGCAGTAGGCCTGGCTTTGGGGCCACTGCTGACTGGACCAGGAATTGGTGAGTAGAGAGGGCAAGGCATTCAATGGACAGAGCTAATGGGATTCCGTCTCCTGGGAGAGAGATAGTTCTCCGTGTCAGTGTGATATTTCCTTACAGAAACCCCTTTCTTAGTTTATTTAGCTTGAATGGGTTCTGTTGTGGACAACAGAACAATCCCAGACCAAAGCTGGGCCAGAGATTTGGCTCTAAGCTTTCAAAGTCTGGAAATGCAGGAGAAAGCTAAGATGGCAGCCTTGGTAAACATGGCTTGTCTCCTTGCACAACTACATCAAAATTACAAGTATAGAACAACCATCATTCAGAATGGTAAGAAATTGAGCTGAATGGAAATCCTACAACTACAGAATTAAAGAAACCACATTGATTTTGGTAGGAAGGTCACAGACATGGAACAGGCTGGTCCCACATACATGTAGCAGATAAAAATCAGGAGGGAAATCTCAGGAGGGAGGGAGCTCAGCCCCATACCAGGCCTTCCAGCCCAGGGTTCCAGTGCCAGGAAGATAAGTCCCCATAACTTTTGGCTATAAAAACCAGCAGGGATTAAGGCTGTAGAGACAGTAATTGCTGGACTCCATGACATTTCCTTTTAAAGGGCCTACACACAGATTTATTCAGACTCACTAATTCTGAGCAGTGGATGGGGAGCAATACCTTAAAAGGTACCAGGGACATATAGAGAGGAATTAAAGTGTCTGGTATCAGGGTGAGAGCTAGGGAACAGCTTTCTCCCAGACAGAAGTACTGGCAGAGGCCACTGTTCTTTTCTGAGCTCTTCTCCCACAGAGCTACAGAGCCGGCAGACAGACACCATATCTGAGACTCCATCAACATGGCTCACACTGTTTTCCCACCCTGGTGATTCCCTGAGGCCCTGCCCCACCCAGATTCAGGCCCACTCAAGCTGCTTCTAGTTCCGGCTTTTTCATACAGATGGCTTGTCTTGGCCCATGCTTCAGATTTTCCTAAATTCTCTCAAACAAGCAACATCTGGCTTTAGTGAACCCCATAACTCTTGCTAAGTGGTCCCAAGCCCAGAACTAATAGCAGCTGGCCTTGGTTCAGAGTGTGGCCTCTCTTGGGCACCTCCAAACCCAACACAAGTAGCACCTAACTGCAGATCACTTTGTAGCTTATGCTGGGTAGCACAGGATAGAACACAGGTGGTGGCTAATCTTGGCTTGCACCTCCTGGGAAGCCTCAGAGCCTGCACGCCTAAAGGACAGTTATAGACCACATCAGAGCACCATGACACAACCACCTCCACAAGTGACACAGTTGAGAGGTGGACTCAGCAAGCACAAGAGCCCTGCTGAAGTAAGTCCTATTCTGTAGAGTGGGCCCCTGCACAGCAGATACTCCACAGTGTTTGGAGATTGGTGGTCAGTGGTCACAGCCAGTCCTTGCAGTTGATCAGCCTGGGTAAATCCCTCCTGTTATCCTCCAACAGCAGTCAAGTCTCAACTACAAAAGGAGGGTGTACACAGCCCACACAGTGAGCACACCTCGAGTATCCAGCATGGATGATAGGGGAGCCTGTGCCATTGGACCCTACAGGACACTTACTGCATTAGGTTGGGGAATCATAGCAGCTCTACCTAATACATAAAAACAAACATAGGAAGGCTGCCAAAATGAGGAGACAAAGAAACATGGCCTAAATGAAAGAACAGAACAAAACTCCAGAAAAAGAGGTAAGCAAAATGGAGACAAGCAAACTCCTAGATGAAGAGTTCAAAACACTGGTTATAAGGATGCTCTATAAACTTAGGTGAAAACAAGATGAACTCAGAGAGAACTTCAGCATTAAAAAAGGACATGGAAACCATTTAAAAAGGTTGGAAATAAAGAATACACTAACTAAAATGAAGAACAATTTATAGAGAATCAAGAGTAGATTGGCTAAAGCTGATAATCAAATCAGCAATTTAGAATATAAGGAAGCAAAAAACAGCCAATCAGAACAGCAAGAAGAAAAAAGAATGCAAAAAAAAAAATGAGGATGGTGTAAGGAGCCTCTGGGACAACTTCAAGCATTTCAACATTCACATCATGGGGATGCCAGAAGGAGAAAAGAAGGAGAAAGAAATTGAAAACCTATTTGAAAAAATAATGACAAACCTTCCCTAACTTCATGAAGGAAACAGACATACAAGTCCATGAAGTGTAGAAAATCCCAAATACAATGAACCCAAAGCTGCCCACACCAAAACATATAATATTTAAGATGCCAAAGGTTAAAGTTAAAGAGATAATCTTAAATGCAGCAAAAGAAAAGCAGTTAGTTACCTACAAGGGAGCTCCCATTAGACCGTGAGCTGATTTTTCAAAAGAACTTTTGCAGGTCAGAAGGGATTGGCAAGAAAAATTCAGAGTGATGAAAAGCAAGGAGGTACAACCAAGATTACTCTACCCAGCAAAGCTATAATTTAGAATTGAATGGGAGCAAAAGAGCTTCCCAGATAAGGTAAAGCTAAAGGAGTTCATCATCACCAAGGCATTATTATATGAAATGTTAAAGGGAGAATGAAAAATATGAAGAATAAATGGAAATACAAATGTATCTACCAACAATTGAATCTAAAAAACAAAATAAGCAAACAAGCAGAACAGAAACAGAATCGTAGATACAGAGAATGTTTTGATGGTTGCTAGATGGGAGAGCCATTGAGGGATGAACAAAAAAGTAAAGGGATTAAGAAGTACAAATAGGTAGTTACGGAATAGTCATGGGGATGTCAAGTACAGCATAGGAAATAGAGTAGCCAAAGAATGTGTATGCATGACCCATGGACATGGACAATGGTGTAGGGATTGCCTGGCGGGGTGTACTGGGAAGAGGGAGGTAAAAAGGAAAAGACTGTACAACTATAATACTCTAATCAATAAAATATAATTAAAAAAAACAAAGTCTGGAAATGCAGAGTAAGCTTATTATTATACATTATGTTAGTTATATTTTCAAATGTAAGTAGTGGGGCTAATTGTTAATCTGAAAAAAGTATAATATACAATAGAATGGCAAAAATAAAATTTCAAAATGAGAAAATAGATTATTTTTTCAGACTTATAATCTGATATTCTGTGGCCCATTTTTGAACACATATCCATATTAGTCAGCACATTATCTGAAAAAGTAACTAGCATACTGTTTAAAAATAACTTTATCCAATGTTTCCAGGTTTTCCAGACACCCTGTGGGAGCCAATAT